CAGAAACATTGGAAGACTACAAAGAACCTCAGAAGCTTATATACTGCACTAACAAAACCTGAACGAGCACGAGCGCAAGAACGTCGTGAAAAACCGCGAGGGCTCTTTTTCCGCCCTGGAAAGAGTTAAACAGCCCAAAGAACGGGATGGGTCGACAGGCTCGGCCGGCGCACCAAAATGTAGTAACGGCCGACCCACCAAGATGTAGTGGTAGCCGAAGCACAGAATGTAGTGATTCTCTGATGGAGAGGCGACGATGTTGGCGGTTCTATGATCAGGCTGCTGCTTGGCACCAGGAAACATCCAGGAAGGACCGGTAGAGCGGCCCTGACGGGAGACGGGGCATAGATGATTGACGTTTAAGTTTAGGTTTAGGTTTAATCAATCATAGAGCAGAATATCAACTGAAGGACACGAACGGCGAAAGAGGCGCAAGTTCGGGCTCGAGCTGGTGCTTGTAACAGCACAAATAGTGCCCGTGATGACGCAACAATCTAGTAAAAGCCAATTACTACACAGCCACTGAACTGGAATCCGCTACTGAGTTGGAAAGTTCACACGTTACGTACTACACGCAGCAGGAGATCACAGCAACGACGGGTGCAGCTCAGAAATACAACGGAAGTCCGAGATTTAGGAAAACAGTACGAAGGCGTACACAGTCACTTGCCTCTGAGCTTGTTTACCCTGTCGATCCTCGGCCTCCGCGTTGAATGGTTCAATACGATCAGCTATAGGACTAGTGTTTTTTTTTTTTAATATGTTTAAAGGAGGACCAGCAGAAATATTCTTCCGCCTGGCGGAAAGTCCTCCTCGCCCTCTTTCTTCCTTTTATTGTAGCACGACGAGGCGAGGGGAAAGGTCCCCTTCTGCGCCGGCTTCTTCTGAGAGGATAAGCCGAGAAAATCCCCATTCTGAGCGACGGGCGATGGGTGCAGCGACGGGCGATGGGTGAAGCTACCTGTAAGTCACGAGGTCGCTGCTGCTGCCGCAGCAGCGACCTCGTGACTTACACGTAGCTTCAGCTCCTATCGCGTAATCTGCCCCATTTTTTGGCGCTCACCAGGCCTAGCCCCTCGGGTGTAGGTATTACGGGGCTGCAAGGCTGCGCCCGCGCAATCACCGAATTTGAGCTGTCGAAGGTCTTCGGTTTAGCCCGTGGCAAAGTAAACGCATACTTGAGAGCTGCGATTCATAACCGCACCCATTGAAGGAACGTTTCATAGATATTTTCGGTTGATCAAGGAGCTCAAAACACATGCGCGAGATGTGGTGACTTGAATATGTAAGGACGACTTACATCTTCCCAAAACATTCCACCGTCAAAAAAAACAAAACGGCTTATCACGCTCAAACCTGCCTCAAACTAGGATCGATGGAAAAGAAAACGATGTACCAGGCGTGGGCACCTTCTAGAAGGTCTCTGTTTTCTAGCAGCGAGCACAAATTATTGGAGAACTTTAGCAGACTATGTTTTCAGGCCACGCTTTATTTAGCGGGAGCTCGCGCTGCCACTTCGATGCATTCTCTGAAGCGCGCGCCTGAAGTGGCAGCGGGCCTTTGAAAACGATATACTAAAATGCCCTGTTGTGTGCCTAACTCGCAGAACATGATGGCCAGCAAAATGTATGAAATTCATATTTACACATTCCCAACAACCACCTGACGTGAGAGGGCATCAAGGGTGAATGTCAATTTTAGAATGTTTTAGGGGGTCGCTTTTAGCCACTTAGATAACCGTACGGTCCGTACCCTACAACGAAATGTAAGAGACTCGCTGTTTACATTCTTCATCGAGTGCGGCTATGGAGCGGAAAAGACAATATTAAAACCCTTTTTGGCGAGTCTAGCGTGTCGTGTTCTGGTTCAACGTTGCTTGTATTGGTACCATAGCACGGGCCGCCACTTTGAAGTATTTGTGGTGTCTCAAAGAAACTAAAGCAAAAGCAGACAATTTTTTTTAACGTGACACAAAATTATATTTAACATTGTAGAAAACTTTTAGGTACCCTACGCCACGCAGTTAGCACAAACAAATTATCGCCGGTGTTTCCCACTTTTTTTTCTTCTTAGAAGTGAATGATGTTTAGGAAACTGTTAATGCGAGTATCCAACCTAAGCGGTAGATTTTAGTGCGAGTCGATACATTGCTGGGGAAAATAGCAAAAAGCGCCGATGTCGTGTTTGCGCTAACAGTGTCGCGTAATGTACGCATACCGCTGCACGATCAACGCTAACGGAGTGAATCAGTAAATTTGGTGGCCCCCCAAAAAAGTGGTGTGATTTTGTTTTGTTTTTATGGTTGAAAGGTTGTTATTTTTATACAAGCAATTCGGTAAAGAGTGCTTCCAGTGGGCACCAACTTACGAGGCATCAATTTGTTCTTATACACTAAATTCTGCATGGGCCTTGCGTAAAAATGTCAATATTGCGTTCGTGCTAGCTGTTTCACGCACAGTAAGAAGACCACTTCATTGCTCAAACATTTAAACTAGGCCTTTCTTACGCCAAATACACATTTTGCGAGTACACTCTATTACGGGTGGTTCATAAAATAACCTACGTTGTTTATTTGGAGGAAAGGAAGTAGTGGTGAGGGGAGGCGGAATTGAATACAAAAGATGACTCTAGGGAATCTCGAACTCTGTAAATATTGCGCACAGCCTATAATTCTGAGTTAATTACATCACGTTTGCTTTGTCTGTTTCAGAATTTGTTAACAGTCGCGCTAAAGGCCAAGATGAGCGACAAGTCAGATTCCCCTGTTTACTTGAGCAAGAAGCGTATGCGAGAGGGGGAAGGGGGGGGGAGGGGGAACTGAAAAAGAATACGAGTGTAACCGTAGCAATCTCCGACCAAGCCTGAACCATGCACACTTTTTCTGAAACCGCGGAGCTGACTGCTTTCGACGACTTGATAAAGCAAGCCAAAGCCGTTAATAAGTGTGACTCGTTGTCAGCTGTGATAATCAAGGCGCTAAGACGATTCCTTGAAACCTTTCATCTATTAAAACAAATTGTGCAATAAATCCATTGCCATATTATGCTTGCGCTGATCTTGGAGCGGTATGCGTGCATTACGTGGCACTGTTAGCCCGAACGCGACATCGGCGCTTTTTACTATTTCTGCCAGCAACAGGTATTTTCTAGCACTGAGCTCTGCCACTTAGGCTGGATAATTCCATATCAGTTTTCTAAACATCATTCACTTTTAAGAAAACAAAATTAGAAAGACCGGCGATAGTTTGTCCGTGCTGTGTGGCAGTATACCTAATATGTCTTTGCAATGACAAATTACAAACGCGTTTCATGTCAAAAAAAGATCGGCTACATTTTTTTTTTAATTTTTTTTTTATTTTTAATGCTTTAAAACTACTTCAAAGGGGCAGCATGTGCTATAGCACCGATTTGAGCAACATTGAATTATAACACGACACGCTTCGATAGCCGCACTCACTAAAGAATGCTCTCAGAAAGGTTATAGCTTATATATTGTTGTAGGGTACGGTTATCCAAGAACTAAAGACGATCCACTAAAACTTTTTAGTATCGACACACACCATTGCTGCCTTCTCACCTCATGTGGTTGTTGGGATGTGTAATAAATGTCGTCTACATTCGTTGGCCATCATGTAGTGTGAGATACGCACACAATAATTTGTGCTCGCTGCTAGAAAACAGAGACCTTCTACAAGATGCTCGCGCCCCGGTATATCGTTTTCTTTTTCTTCGATCCCAATCTGAGGCAGGTTTGAGCGTGATAAGCCGTTTTTTTGAAGGTGGAATGTTTTGTGAAGATGTAAGTCATCCTTACATATTCAAGTCACCACACCTCGCGCATGTGTTTTGAGCTCCTTGATCAACCGAAAATTTCTGTGAAACGTTCCTTCAATGTGTGCGGGGATGCATCGCAGCTCCCAAGTATGCGTTTATTTTGCCACGGGCTAAACTAAAGAACTTCGACAGCTCAAATTCGGTGACTGCGAGGGCGCAGCCTTGCAGCTCCGTGAAACCTACACCTGAGGTGCTAGGCTTGGCGAGAGCCAAAAAATAAAGCAGATTACATAATAGGAGTTGAAGATACCCGTAAGTCACGAGGTCGCTGCTGCCGCACCCATCGTCCGTCGCTCAGAAAGGGGATTTTCTCGGCTTATCCTCTCAGAAGAAGCCGGCGCAAAAGGGGACTTTTCCCTTCGCCTCGCCGTGCTACAATACAAGAAGAAAGAGGGCGAGGAGGACTTTCCGCCAGGCGGAAGAATATTTCTGCTGGTCCCTCTTTAACAATAAACTACGCCAAAAAGAATATTCTTACCTCATTTCGACGAACACTCACCTGAAACCAAGCGCACTGTCAGCTGTTGGGACTCGTGCTGTGTTGCTGCTCCAGTGTTGCAGCTCGAGCTGACAAAAAGTTTATTCCACCAATTTACGAGAATTGCACGACAGATGTGGTCTTGGCCGATTTTGAAAAATCACGAAAGCTAAAGAATAAGATATTTTATAGTCTTTTTGTGGTTACCTAAGTTACTAATATCACTCACGAGTGCCTGCACGTGAATTTTGGATTCCCAAGTGACCCGTCATCTACTGCAGAAAAGTGGTCATTTCACAGCGGTTTGGGGTCGTCACTTTGCCCAAAGGCTAGCCGCTCGCAATCTGGGGTAGTGAAATCCTCCAGAACGCCATTTTGATAACCCAGGGTAGTCGTTTTTTCCTCAGAGTGTAGAATCGGTTACATTGGGTTAATGTGATTAGTACAATTAATTGCATAAATTGAAATCCTTGGTGGCACGCTCATTCTGAGGAAGCTGAAGCATTAGCGATATTTTAAGAGATCCGAAACATACTTATTCTAAGAATAAAAAGAGCTTGTAAGAAATAACCTAGTTTTCTACTTATTTTTTCCCCTAATTCACGTGTTTGAAGCCTTTGGGAACAGCACAACGAGAAAACCGCATTCTCGCTCTGGTGCAAGTGCTGGAGTTCATGATCGAGCGACTTCAAAGTGCTATTGCCTTTCGTTTATTAAGACAATGACACTTCCGCGTGACAACAAAAATTAACAAATTCATCCATAAATTCTTACGGAAATCATCGACCGTTTAAAATTGTTTCATTATTGTCTTCTTGGCGCTTTTTCGTCGGTGTTCAGTTTGCTTGACACAAAAAGGGGCGGGTGTCTTGAAATAGAGTAGACATTTCTATCCCGTTTATTCCGCAGGCCTTGTTCCTTTTACTTTTGTTTTCAGATATCCATACCCATTACTTTCCACAAAGGACGATTCTTGCTCATCTATGAGGCTCCAAAAAGCGCCGAAATCTAAGGCGGGCCCGCTGCCTCCGTACTCTTCCGGCAGCGTCTCAGCGGGCAGTTCCTTGTGCAGACCTTCAAAGTTCGTTCCGTGGAGGTGTATCTGCGTAAGGAAAATAATTTATTACCGGAAAGCACGCCAGCATTGCGTACTGCGTGGCAAGATAAGCATTATCGCCGAATCGACGACTTCTCGGTGAAGTGTCAAATTCGTTGCCTCGGAGTCGTTTCGCATGCCTCCCAACACAAGCCGTTTTAACAAAACAGTCGTCCACCTTTACACCAATGTCAAGAAACATAATAGTGAACATTATACTGTTGAATCTATACTGTATTAATGCACTCGAAATATACAAGTGAACAAAGTATTGGTTATTCACAAACCTATTTTTATGTTAATCACTGCGAAATATATTTTACGAAGTCATGTGACACTTGGCTAGACTTTCCATAGTAACCGGAGACACGGAACGATTGAGAAAAAAAAACGGAAAAAGACAGCAGTACTTAGATATATCAATAAACCTATTTAATTATCGTCATTATTCGCGACACATATGGCGTACTATGCAACGCATCCGTATCAACATTAGTGCAACCGCGCGTTCCTGAAAACAAAAATTTTTGATTGAAACTCGTTTTCTCAAAATCTGAAACACTATTACAACAAAACTAATAATCTCAGGTTGTCTTCAAAGCGGTGTTAAAACATGGTTGCAAAAACATGCGAGAAAAGCGGACATGTTTCTTTCGACCTAGCATCAAGTCACTGCCGCTGTTCCGAGTGTGTATATATACACCTGGTGTTTCAGCGAAGTCTGACAAAATGTCCTAAAATTAGTGTACTACTCGTGCTGGCGGACGTCAGAAAATGTCCGATAATTACTAATTAGTTCGCTAATTATTTATAATATGATATATTAACTTCTTAATTAGTGAAAATAGACATATGGTTCCAAGCATAAACCAGCTGAGCATCGTCAAAACCACTAAATCAGTAACTTTTAGAAAGGCTTTGAGCGCATGAGGAGCGTAGGGGTGCGCCAAAGTTACCACTCGTGAAGCAGGTACGAGGCTAGCGGTTGCGATAAGGCGCCCGCGTTCTAAGCACACGGTCAGCTGTTGGTGCTCGTGCGGTGTTGCTGCTCCAGCGTTGCTGTTCAAGCTGACAAAAAGTTTATTCCACCAATTTACGAGAATAGCACAACAGATGTGGTCTTGGCCGATCTTGAAAAATCACGAAAGCTAAAGAATAAGATATTTTATAGTCTCGTTGCGGTTACCTAACAGTAATATCACTCACGACTGCCTGCACGTGAATTTCGGATTCACAAGTGACCCGTCGTCTCGTGCAGAAAAGTGGTCATTTCACAGCGGTTTGGGGTCGTCACTTTGCCCAAAGGCTAGCTTATAAGCAGCTGACCGTTCAGCTGTTTTTTTTTAATTTTTTTTTTAATTATTTATAGTTAGTTATTCCAGGCTTGCTGAAAAACGTACAGTCCACGAGTGTTGCGGACTTGCTACTCCGAAGTTAGAATGATTCCGGAATCATTCCGCACTTTCGCGACCCCGGAATGGAAATGGAGTGGCGGCAGCGCTGGGGGAAATGGAAGGGGGATCGACTTATATGCCTTTCCCCCGAAGGAAGTGGGTATGGAATGGGGAATGACGAAAATATTCCCAGGAGAAGGGGAAAAAGAGGGACAAAGGACAAACACAAATCTCCAAACACAGCTAGGTGATCGGTGCGCAACCGAATGAAATCCGCCTTGTCCGGGTAACTAACCTCTCCATTTCCAGTGGAACGCTCTACCAACTGAGCTTAACAGGGGTTAGACGTCAGTAGAGCAAACAGGTTTTATCAGCCCAGTCTAACACTAACAAGGGTGAAAGGCTCGCAATTTAAAGATCTCAATTCTTATGAGACCTGTGTCGATTTACATCATGGGACCTACGGGCTGATGGCGCGATTCGCTAACGCGTGATAAGTGGCTCTTGAAACAGCATTGTTGCACCGGAGGTGACTGACGGATTCATTGTCTTACTGGCTTATGCTCCTTAGAGGATAAAAACGGCGAGCTCTCGGTGAAGCGACCAAGTGGTAGACAGACATGGTGTCGTTCCTGGAGCCGCGAGACGCGACGAAGCGGCTGTTGTAATCATGCGCGATTAGCATGCAGCTTTCAACCAGGCTGTGGAACCAAACCCGAACCGAACACTCGAGCAAAACCGTTATTTTTAACTGAACCGGAACAAAACTGCCATATTTCTTAAGGAATGACAGTGCGAACATAAACGTCAAAGTAAAAACAAAAAGTTGACGGCTGTCGGCACGCCTGTTCCGCGGTAGTGAAATCTGGAGGCAACAAGAGGCGAAGCCGTGACGAGCGCGACACTGCGGCGCCGGTCGCCGAGACGCCAGTTGCCCAGAACCAATGCTGCTTGAAGAAATTTTTGATTGTGCCTTTACTAGAAACAGCAAGTCACCTGTTGTCATTTTTCACCTCCTCTTTTGTTCAAAACGTCATTCGACCAACCCTCGCTGTCTTTGTCTTCTTCAAATCAGTCGTCCGTGCAAGTCGTTCGGGAGCGGGGTGAGTATTGTTGGCCGTTTCAATCTGAATGAGCTCTGGATGAGCACATACAGTGGTTACAGCGTCGCCACTCTCTGGCAGACTAAACTCCTATCTGAACAACTGACGACTGATGTTTTCTTGTGGGTAGCTTGGGAGTATGGTGCGTGCTGCCGCCACTGTGCGTGCTGTTCGATTGATTTTGCATGTGAGTACTCTACTCTGCTACTGTTTCCAAGCGCCTGTATAACCACGTAATTTTAATACAATGGTGTTTGCGTTAAAATTCAAGATCACAAAACGAAATTAAGCCTATTGCTTTGCTGTCCTCGTTTTCGCAACATGGCTTTTGACGACCTAATTTATTTTAATGAAGGTGACGCAAACTCACTTTTTTTTTTCTTAACGACTGGGAGCTGTGGGCTTTTATTTCAAGGACCGGTTTATACTGTTTCGCGCTTAGTGGAATCAGTAACCGAACCGTTATTTCAAAAGCGTCCCTGAGCCAGAACCAAACCGGAACAAAATGCAAAGCAACTCGAACCCGAACCGAACCGAACACGAACCGAACCGGAATAGTGACCGGTTCGACTTTTCTGTTTTTAACCAGACCGATCTTCTAGTGTTTGCGTGGAACATTAATATAAAAAAAATTAATTGAATGCACAGCAAGCGTGAAATGTAAAGTTTCAAGGCAGGTTCCATAATATATGATGGTACAGTCCCTTTTGCTGGCGCCGAATACCGATCCTACTTTGTCAGTGGTTTTCTCTTCTTGCCGCACTGCATGGAGATTTGGGGCAGCTATACGCGGCGCCGCTTCTTACAGCGCATTAGCGGTGCTGTTGCGAAGTATTCCAAACAGAGAGCGAAATAGCTTCTTCTTGTGCCAAGCACAAACTAGACATTCTTAAGGCCTTATCAAGCAAACACCAAGCTAATCATTAGGGCAGGGCGTCGATTAAATGGTTTATCCCGATTAATGGCCACCCTTTAATCGATTTATCGGTCTCAATCATTTCATGCATAATATTTTTTTTGAAGCCAAAAGTAATATATGTGTTTTTTTTAATTTTTGCATTCGCTTAATATGAGGTAACCTGGAGCACGGAATATACGATATTTATTATGAATCAACCTTGATGTGCAGTTAAGAGCAGTTCACATGCACTCACACACATATTACTTCAGCTGCACGCGGGAAAAAGGTTCGTTGATATTCTCCGGAAAAAGCGAACTCCTTTGATTGTTCACACTAGTCGCTGCTGCGCTAAACGGACACTCGAGCAGCGTTGAAGTGACCGGGACAAGTATTGCCTTTTGCACTTTATCAGGCGTTACAAGTTTTGCCCCTACAGTTTAGTTTAGGCTAAATTTAGACCTAAAGTTTGCCCTCATTTGTCAAAGTCAAATATGCATTCAGGTGTTCTCGTCCACGTCTGCGTGGTGAAATCCTTTGCTTTACTATTTTCATTCGTAAAATTTGACAGATTAACCAGTTAAAAAATTAATCGCGATGAAAGCATTAATCGATGAATCGGTGGACTAGTCAATCAATTCCCCAGCCCTCCTAATCATGTATCTGTGGAAGGTATACACGGTCCATTTGCGAAGGAAATGGGTGGTTTTAATTTTTGTCGTCTGTTGAGACTCGCAAGCCTTTTACGATTGATCGCGCACAATCGATATCTGCAGTGACAAAAAGTTGTCACAAAGCGCTTTGTGCGACCACCCTTTGGCTTAGCAGAAAGAGTGCTGTGAGGTTTCTTTTGCCTACTTTTGCAATCGTCTCTGCATTTGATAACGTTAACAACTTTACGCTGTTTTTTTTTTGTGTGTGTGTGTGTGTGTGTGTGTGTGTGTTTTTTTTAGTAGCACAATGTGGTTTTTAATGGCCGCTTTTCACGTTTAGAAATTAGAGGAATCGAATGGTGAAGTTCAGCCATTCCAGAAGTGGGAATGGGCCTAGAGTCTCCATTCCGAGGAAATATCGGAAACTCTAATTCCCCGCAACGACATTGAAATGGAATGGGGGTGCCCATTCCGCAACGCTGCAGTCCACAGCCTATTAAACATTTCTTATGTTTAGGTTGTAACACTCGGGACTTACCCTTTCGACGTACTTCCTGTTGACAAGATGCCTAACAATTGACATCAGAATGTGAAAGACAAATGTCTGTCTGACCACATGGATGGCTTTCAGCCGGAATGGCACGCACTTCTGTAAGGTGTAAAAACAACTTTAAAGACTGCTTTGGTGACAAAATACATGTACCTAGAATACATACAAGCTTTGTTCGTACCTGCAGTCAAAGAAATTTGCTAGATTTGGCGGGGCATACACCGTTTAAAATATTTAGCAGAAGGTAGACACTTGACTGCTTGTGGCGTGCGAACGTAGTACATTTTATGCTTACACCTTTGTGTCGGTGAAGGGAAGCGGAAGGCTTAAGAACATATGCTACGTTAATTATATATTTTAACTACTACATTTATCAAATAAAAAAATCCCGTGTGGTCACTGCTGTGGTCCCTTTCTCAGAAACTATTTAAATAAGTAGGAGGCAACAAAAGTTATAAAGTTTCCAAATCGTAACTCTACTCTTGCGGCGCACATCCAGCATTACGTGAAAAAGAAACAGTGAGGTTTCCAGATGAAACTATGAGTTCTGCGAGACCAGAACCAACGTTTTAGATGGGTCAAACACTACGGCTTCGAAATCCGTCTTTATGCGTGATGTTCTAAACTTAGGAATGAAGTCGCTCAGAGGAGTCAATAACTTAAATGATGTGCACAAGAATTGCGAAATTATAAATGTTCGAGCGGCTCACTTTTGCTAAAACATAACTGAATCAAATGCGATCCGCGCATGTATACACACAATAAAAGCATGAATTCAGCACTGAATACATATTGTGTTGGTCGAGGAGTACTAATACCGGAAGCTTGATACGGAGTTCACTCTCTAAAAGCCGTGCTTGTTTGACCTTCAACCGGCCAGCCTGATTTTGTTCTTTCAAGCCACCTGATCCGGTATACACTGTTTCATCATGAGTGCGACCAAAATCAGAACTTTCAAGATTGAACTGCGCTGACGTAGTCCAAACACTGTTCGAGAAAACAGGCCTGGGTTTGTGGCATCGCTCAAGAGTATTGAGAAATGGGGTGCATACTGTTAGCAATCGAAATATCATTTAGAAAATACTTTGTGGAAAATTAGCTTACTCCCATTAACATATATTTACGCACTCAACAGAAATATTATGTCTGGTCGTAACAATTTCGTTTCGGTTTGGAATTACATGTATAACCGACTCTGCAAGAACCCGTCACTGTCACTATATCATGAACATCCATCAAACGGCATGTAAAGGATTTGGTTAATTACAATGCTTATTTGTCAGCAGAAATACTCTTCTTTTTTATTCTAGTAATTTACTCCTCGTATAAAATCTACGTTTTTGTGTTAATTTCGGCTAAAATTAAAATATTACTCCCTCTATAAATGAAGGAAAGCTCCACTGAGATAAGTCCATAATGTGCCAACTAAATACCATCCTGGACCAGCCATGCTATCAAATCGCTGAGCAGACCTACAAGGGAAGACATATCCGGGAAGAGTAATCTGACTTTTGAGCCTTGGTAGAGGACTATTGGTGCACCATGGAAAAACGGTTGCTGCGGTAATGAGGGTATGGAAGAAGCTTCTGACATATTATTGACGTGTCTCACTATATATTGTCTGGCTTCATTATTTCAATGGCTATCAACTTCGGTTAATGGGCAATAAAGGTTTGATATTCAGAGCGTCATAAATTGGTACTCACAAACACAAATTCTGTACATTGCTTCAACAAACCTATGTTGGCCGACAAAAGTTTACTCATGCTGAACCCTTCATAGTCGACAAGCACAGAAATGCCAACGGTCTGTGACGAAGGGTCCGCTGCAAGGAACTCCAGAGCCAGATGCAACGCCTGCTGAGCTTCACTGTGTGTAGAAAGGCTCGGAATCCAAGCGCCTGGAATGTTGATCGAAGATAAATACAATCTTACGCTGTGCCGTATCAGTCTTGGCAAAGCAAACATTTCTTTAACAGCGGTATCAGTAATGGGCTTCCAACATCTTGAACATCCGAGACTATAAACAAGAAGTGAACTACACTCACGCACGCATGAAACTATGAGTCCTGTATTGCGACCAAAATCTAGTAGGCCTGTGCACGCAGGTCTCAATAGCGCTTATGCGAAATTGTTAATTGGCGGTCTGACAACACCGAGAGACTTGTCATTTTAATGCTGGCAAGCGTCGTCGATGCTGAAGCACGGTCTAGGGATCGGAGACAACCGCACGGGCAGTGTGCGATGGGCGGCAGCTGTGTTTTCGCCTTCCGACCCTGAAATGTGGACGAACATTTTAAACAACCTACCGCAACTGTTTGACGAAACTTGCGGAGGCCTGCGCGGTGGCGACATTCCGCAATGTGTAAGCTTCCACAGCGAAGGCGTTGGACTTGCTCCGGTGCTTCGACGAGGCTGACGGCAGCGTGCACAGGCCTACAGAGCTTGGCCAGACATTCGCGGTAGGTTATTTAGGCTTCTCGTCCACATTCCAAGATCGAAAGGCGGAAAACTAAGCTGCCGCGCCATCACCCGTACGGTTGTCTGCGATGCCTCCATCATGCTTCGGTACCGATGACGCTTGCAAACGTTTAAATGGCAAGGCTCTCAGTGCTGTGAGACCATCAAGCAATTTCGCATAAGGTCTATTGAGACCTGTACGTGTGTTGTGCACTTTTTTTCCTATTATCAGGTGTTCAAGATGTTAGAAGTTCACCAGCTTGCTGGGCAAGCCAAGTTTTTAACAGGAAGACCATTCGTGTGAAGCTTAAAATAAGGTCTTCATAAAAAAGTGGAATTGTCACCTTTTTTCAGATTTAATCCTAGATAAACAGTATTACCCTGAGCTTTCATGAAACATGAACGGTACACCGCTACCTAGAAAACAATTTCAATAATATCACGCGTTGAGCGCTTTCGCGTGACACTCGCCAAATAATAAACAGAGAAACGAACACGCTGAAAAGGAATCGCATTCCGTACTTCTCGAAGAAAGCTACCAGTTTTGCTTTGCTCACGGCAACATAAATAAACAACAAACGATGCGATTTCTTCCGAAATCCTGGTCTAGAATACAGCATGAAGAAAAAAAAGTTTTGGCTCCAATCCACGCAGTAAAGGCGGTTGGACAGCAAAGCTGCGGTATCAATTGTAACCATTGTCCACTGCACTGTAGACCCTTTTTATGGAAAACGACACCAGGTAGTGCTCCAGTCTCTCACGTCTCAGAGAACTTCCGGTTTGTAAAAACAAGGAACAAAGACGACCTTAAAACCGCTGGTTAAAATGTAGATGAAACGTTTGACCACACTTTCTCCAGGAGAACGCCAAAAAAACGAAGGAGTGCGAGATCTGTTAAAATGCTTCGAGCATTCTTAAAAATTAGATTGTCTCCTCCAAAATGTAATATTGTACAGCCGAAGGCAATCGTTAAATCCCCAACTTTGGAGTCCGCGTAGAACTTATGATTTCTAGCATTGGTGACATAAGCAAGCTCAACAGGCTTGCAAAGACGTGCATCCGGAAGTCGCTTGGGAAGCAAGCGGCAGTTCATGCTTCTAAACAGCAAAAGGGTCTAATCTATACCAAATGATTGACGGAAGGAAAATAAATGCACTGTACCGAATCTTTTCCTTTATATATGAAAGGCTAGTGACGTCACTGCAGTCCCACGTCCCAAGCTGCCGTCGCCGCCAAAGCTTGCGCAACGGAAATATTTACTGAGAAACGTATGCGGCGAGCCCTACGTGCGTCGCATTGTGATCAGGAGTGCCTTACCAATTATCTGGTTCGGATGCTTGTTTTGTGCTATTTCTTTATTGAAACGAGTGTTATGCTGTATATTGTAGATGATACTGTAAGCCTGGGACTGTAGGTAAGAATTTAGCAGTCTGTTCTATCCCTATAGATGAGACCGCTAGACTGCGGAGTTGTGTATCGCTATGCGGAATGAAAGTCTTCTGCTTGCGCAGGAGTTGCGGTGACGTCAGAACGACACCGAGCTCTGATTGGCTTTGATTGAAGATATAGTGGGTAGGCCTCAATGATAGATGCCTTCAGGTCTACCCACTATTTTTTTCCCATCAGCCAATAAGAGCTCGACGTTCTGACATCATCGCAACCCCTGTGCAAGAAGCAGACGAACTTGCGCTCAGCATTACATACGTCATGCAGTAGTAATACACGACCGCACGCCGGTGTGATGCTCATCCAGATAGGAGGTTAAACCCGGGGTCTCTGCAAGTGCTCCAGCGTAATCTCCGTACTCTCGCATTTCTCGACGTGCTCCAAGGTGCGGTGCGACAACACACTCGGCCAACGATCTTTCACTGCACTTGGTTTAGCCCGTTCAGTCGATTATCGCGCAGACGAAGTTCATCTGGCACACCCCAGCGAAATATCTTTTGGTTCATTTCTACCAGCGGGAGATATTTTGAATTGCAACTGAGATCTCCGATTGGCCTCCGTCAGATTGCGGGCACCTCGGCCGATATTCTAACCCGCAAAAAAGGGATTTATGCTCTAATGCGCTGGCTTAGAGGCACTGAGACGTTTTAATGTGGTGTGTTTTATGTTAATATGGTTATCAGTTAAAAGTCACCGAGGCGACTGCGAAACAAAACATAATCTAACCATTCCGACAAGCCATAGTCCGATTGCGAAAATTATTTTTCAAGTGATAAAAACATTGAATTGTTTTGACATACGTGGCGGAATAGGAACTGGCGGAATCTCTTTCATGGCCTATTTCATATGAATCGCACCTGGTTATGCCGGGCATGTATAGGGCTTCCTAAAGTCACCAGTCTCGATCTAAAATAGACCGTAAAAATTAACGCCTGCACGTAGCAATCTGAACTTTTCGTCAAAGGTGTATTTCACAGGTCGGTTCTTGCTCGTAATATTACAAAGCGTAGCTCCCTTTCTGTAAAAAGTAGACTGTAGAACCCAAAGACTTGCCAGGGTCAACGGCGGACGGCGACGCAGACGATCGAGTCGAGTTGCGGGGTGCGTTTGGCGTTCGTATTGATAGATGGCGTCGGGAGCAGCGTCCGAAGGTGCAGCCGACCAGCGAAAGAAAGCAGACGACACGCAGACGAAATGCGTTCGCAGCAAAATCGCCATCGCTATGCGGACGCGTTTTTTTTTTTTTTTTTTACTTTGCTTTGTTTTTATTGTCCGCATTTATTTTTAAACCAAAGGTACATTGCAAAAAGATTATGTTCATTTTAATAACCCACTGTGGTCGCGAGCAGTCTCTATAAAGACGTAGCGTCATCTATCAATACGAGCGCCACTCGACTTTGTCGTCTGCGTCGCCGCCCGCCATCGACCCTGGCAAGTTTCTTGGCCCTATTTTTTACAGAAGGGGAACTACGCTTTCTAAATTTACGAGAAAAAACCGACCTGTGAAATACTCCTTTGGCGAAAAGTTTAGACTGCTAGGTGCAGGCGTCGATTTTTACGGTCCATTTTAGATCGAGCCGGGTGTCTTGGAACACCCCTTATGTCGACGGGCAGTTGAGCGCGCGCAAAGGCAGCTCTGGTACACCCGCAGCATTGCACTTGTTTTAACATCGCTCGCTCGCTCACAGCGGCCACCCAGGCATCTAACACCCTAACATCTGGCGCTTTTTCTGTCCTTCACATGGCGTCCCAAGCGGCACACGACTGAATGGGAAAAGGTTGAGATCTAATACTAAACTTCATGCGTAATATATTGATATGAACGTTCTTGAAAATGTACTATCGAAGGATACTTCTAAATTTAATGTCTCGTAATTTTCATTATTTGACGTGATTCCGTTGTTTCAGCATAATGAAATAACAGTTTTAAAATTTTATTTTCCATTTTAAAATGTACATTTTTTCCACCGTTGTTTACCGTTTTAATTTCTTTTATCAAACCGACCCTTCAGATAAATTATAGTGGACGTAGCAAACTTGTAACTCGAGAAAAAAATAAAATATCCAATATTAGAGACTGTGGTCTATTAAAAGCTGAATAATGAACGAGCAACTCAAATAATCGTTATATTGAATATTCAAATACAGTTTAAGAATAGTAATCGAATATGACAATAACTTTATGAATATAATACATGGGAATAAAGTTTTAAGCCGTCAAAAAAATAACCAAAACAGCATTCACGGTAGGGTTCCACCTAAAGAACATAGAGTAATGCAAGACAATATGATTTAGTCGTTTCTCACCTGACCTGACCAACAGGACTCGCCGTCCGTGAACATCTGGATTTGGCAGCACCGTATATAAACATCTGGAAGCGGGCTTGACGTTCGAGGGTAGGAAATTATCGTAGATGGAAGGGTATGCCGCACGGTTCTTGTAATAGCGCTTGAGAGTCGCCAGTGCTGCTTCGATATTGTATTTCCTTACGCGGATGTACCGTAGAAGGAACACGTTGTCTCGCCTTGCATTGAGTTCCGGGTCTTCTGCAGAGGACAGTGTAGAGAAATACTGTTACTATTAGACAACAAGAGTACAATATGCACATTTCTTTGAACGAATTCCTACAGTTTTGTTTTTACACATTCAAGCACCTTCTCGCCGTCACTGCCAAGCGGGCCCTGGAAGCATCAACCTACCCCTGCTTGTCAAATCAAAGGATAGGAAAACGTAGATACCTGCGGTGTTCGTTTTTTTTCGTTTTTTTTTTTCTCTTTTCTCTTGTCTTCTTTTTTTTTTTTTTTTTTTTTTTTGTTGGGGATTAGTGAAAATTAGCGTGAGCCGGAGTTCGCGTTTCCCCAAGACCGAGGGATGAAAATTTTGGTTGCGGAGGCCATACAGTTATACCGTTAACAAACTAATACCAAACATTCTGTTGTGGCGAAAAAAAAACACGCATAGTGCGTAGTACGCAAAACAAAATCGACGAAAATTATATCAATTGGATGGTAGCAGCCCAATCCGCCACACAAGCTCTTGGAGCCTCCGGCATCCCTTTAAAACCCCAGCCTTGGTTAGTGTGATTCTGAACAAACAAATACCGATGGATCGCCTTCCAAACCTGTTCATCAACGAAATAAATAGTGTGATGTGGCGCCTGGGTAGAGTGGGGTATATTTGTTTTTTAAAACATACCGCGGCTCACACGTACGGTCCATAGCATGTATGGGAACATAAAAAAAATTTGTTCTATCATGCTATGTTACTATCGCGAATACTTTCTTGTGATAGAAGTTATCCCGTCTACAACGCCGTCTAGTGACGCATGGGTCCTAATTTTATTTGACAGTGAGTTCCATTCGTCATAGAAATCATTACATTTGCAACTATAACAAAATACTTGAATACATAATGGTTAAGTTTAAAGTATTTTAATACCAAGGTATACTTTAAACTGGACAAGACAAGTTGTTGAAAATTTGATATATATTTCACTGTGAACGCTATTTTTTTATTATCGTTCACTTTCAACTTGTTTTACTGACAGTAGTCTTTCTGCCTGTTTACTTACATCAGTGACCGTTAACTTATTTTTAGTGTTAACATTAAAATGTGATACATCTTTAACTGTTTAACAAGCAATTTGTACGACATTAACAGGTCGTGCTTTGTTTGGCCCTTTATAGATTTCCACAAAAGTCTGCCGACGTGATTGAAGTCATCTTGAGGACTTCTAGCTCCATAAATTAAATACCTTGAGAATTTAAAACATAAGCTTTTTTCTTTTCGATCTGCGTCTGATTTTAGGTCAGCGAAGTGATTATTTTTACCAAAACGATGAAACTGAAAATCAAAAACAAGAATTACCCTAGGCTATCGATATTTCGTTTGGTAAGCCCAAAGTAGGACTGGTACAGGAGTTTGAATTACGCTTAATACATAACAGAAACAATGCTAAAGTTTAAAAATCACCCACAGCATCGATCAAAATTAATTTGAGCACTGATTGTCACAAATTACATGACTGCTTACACGTTATACTGAAGACAGTCGTGTACAGAATCGAACGCCAGTCACCGCGAAATCCGTGCTTAGAATACTTCATGGCAATGCGTATTCTCTTTTGCAAGACTTTTTTTTTATGATGTATGAGCAGACTCCCCCCCCCCCCCCCCCCCCCCCCCACACACACACACACTTCTAGTCCTGACCCATAAATCCGCCCCTGTCACAGACACGAGTCTGTCTGTTTTCACCTACCGTCGAGCAACTGATTGAGCCTCGCCAACGCGTCCGCCCGGCCTTGGTCCGTCTCGCCGAGCTCTTCATAGGCGATCCGTTGGAGCTCGGCAGGTAGGTCCTCGTCACTTGTGCGCATCGTCCCACCACCGACTTCCAGCTCGTTGGCTGTCGTTGACACAAAACCAAGAAAAAGTTAGAAAACCAGTACCACACACAGGGAACAGTTTGAACGCAACACCAGTGCAGCAGGGTAACGACTTCGCGTGTGAAAACACGATGCGAAATTTATCTGTTTTGTTGGTGGTGCAGACGCATATCGCGGAGCTGGCGCCGCGACATTGCAGGCTGTTCGAGTACCGAGGACGGCTACGGTGGCTGCACTTGCAAGCGACAAACGAGGGAGGGTAGAGATATTGCAAAGAGAGAGAGAAAAATCGTGCGCTTTCTTGGCTGTTTATTGGTGGTCTTGTTTTTCTTTTCGTTTTTTTTACAATCGTGGTGGAGTTTGATAACCGTCGCGTTGTCGGGCGAAGGAGCTGTGTTGTCACACCGAACACGCAGAGGAGGTATATGACTGCATCCGTTTCTTTAATCGGCCGCCCCCAGCTTATGAAAGTGGTGAATGCCATACATGTTTTACAGCAAGCTCCACCCAAAGCAGCGAGCGGCGTGCATATCGCCGTGTCCTTGGAGGCTGGGAAGCGGTGAAGCGGCAGCCTTGAAGCTGCCAAAGCTGCTCAAAGCAGAGATAGTGTCGCCATCTCCCGCTGTGGCACGTCAACTCTTAGCGTGCAACTCTTGACGCCAGCTGTCGGCGCCGCGACAACTTTTCTTGGCAATGCAGTGGAAGGTACAGGCCCGCGTCCCCTCTCCCACTTTGAGTGTGCGCGGGTTCTCCTCCTCTCCCCGGAAATGGGGAGAGGAGGAGAGCCTGCGTACACTCAAAATGGGAGAGAGAACGCGGTCCTGTACCTTCCACTGCATTGCCAAGAAAAGTTGTCGCGGAGTATAACTAACTCTCGAGGAAAAGATCTGCCATTTTCCCATGCATTCTGACTGCCGCAAGCGGGGGAGTATGCAGGCACACCTTGGGTGTCCCACACATAGTCAACAACTGCATTCGATTTCAAGATTATAATTATCATTAGAACAGTTTGCTGAACTTCAACAATCCGCGTACTTACCGGTGGAAAGATATTCGCGTTCGTTTCGAAGCTTCCTGTTTGCATAGCGCGCAGGTGTACGGTATCGCTTCAGCGTAAAACTAAACCGAATAAGGAGTTTCGCGATATGGTTGTTATGGGCACGCCCCGGGAAAACAAAACCGCGTAACAACCACATTTCCAAGATTTCGACAGAACGGCAGTTAATGCAGCGAAATGGGTACATTGCTTTTTATAAGCGTTAGAATAACTCAGAATTTAGTTCACAACGTTAAATTATCACTATTTAGTTTGCTGTGAGTTTTCAATCTTTGCGATTACCATTGCGACTGTCGTCCTTCAGCTGGCATCATTGGTTCCCTCTCGTGTTCTGTCGCGCTCTTCCGCTATCTTTCACTCGGAACTCCAGATGTCGGCGAACATGATTTGCCACTCCTCCTCACTTACCTTTACCCACCTGTCTGCGCGTAAGAGCCCACGCTTAATAGTCACGTGATCTTGCGTCATACTCTTACCATGCTACATTAGAAAGGGAGGAGGCCACAATGTCACTTTGTCCGATCATACTATGTTGCTAAAGCAAGGGAAATTTCCCATATATGGGAGAAAACTTGACCCAAGGGACCAAGTGAAACTTGATTTCAACTCATAAGAAATAAGGGCAACGTGTACTCCAGCACTATTTCTTTTTATATTCCTCATTTTTACGTGTCCAAATTAGGCTTCTGTTTGTCCCATAAATCTATGTTCTTTGGAAGTTTTCCACGATTCGACAATGCCGTGAATGCATTACTGATGTTGGTATAATGTGGCAGATCAGCTTTGGTTCTCAAAATCAACCCTTACCCTTCTTTCATCTGGAATTCCTGAACGGAGTCCCTAAATACCTTTCAAAGTTAGGAAGGGTGATCGGCGTTTTGTATGCTTCACTGTAAGGCGGTGACCTAGTTCTGGCTCTAAATTTTGCCGGGCTTTCGCTGCATGTCTCTCTATGCGCAGAGGCACTGTTTTCAAATTTAGGGATGCTTCGGAAAAAGAAAAAAAAAAAGAAAATCAGAACAAACTTGGATTTATGCAACCCCTATGTACCACACCGGTTATTCTTAGTACTCGTCAATCACGTCGTTGACGGAGCCACTCACCATGCTCCAGCGTTTCACCGGCACCAAAAACGACGCCTATAGCTAAGTGTCTCCATGTAAACAGATGACGCAAGTGGAAGACGCGGTTCGTCAACATGGCAAAACGCGTTTTACTGGAAGTGATTAAGCGTTTCGTGGAACCGCCCTAAGACTTTTTTTAAGGGAGCCGCCATCTTGAAAATTGTGGCGCCGACGACGCCGTCAAGCGGCTTGAAACTTTAAATACCACCTCGTTGACGCTATAAACTTTAATAAATGTAAATCCCTTGCTGCCATTTTCCCGCAGTTCACGTGCCATAATTTTCGTATTACCTTGCTCGCACTCAAGTAACAGCCTGCACATCCTATACATAAATAAGTGTTGATCTCACCACTAACCTATCATGGACTACTCATATAGCCTCTGTTATGACTGATACTAACCGCACTTTCAGATATTTGGGCCGAAACCACGAACTTGATACACCATCTGTAAAACGACTAGCGAATACTATTATAAGACCCAAGTTAGAATATGCCACATCTATATGGTCTTCATGGCAAGGTTTTAATTTTTTTAATTGGTGCCTATTATTCCACCTCTTTCAGACCAAACAGTATTCATTGAGCATTTTGACACAATCAGTAAGCAAATTAATTTAGATAAGTGCCGTGTCCAAATGTATGGCGATTTTAATCTACCTTGTGTGGACCGGTTAAAGCAAACTATAAACAGTAACACTATAACGTTTATCAAGGCATATTCTTCATTATCTTTTATAAACATTTGCGGTCTTGAACAGCACAATACTATTAGAAACAATGGCTGGCAATGTTCTAGACCTTGCTGTTTCTAATATTCCAATCATAAGTTTAAATCAGGCCCCAATTTCATTGGTACAAATTCATAGTTTCCATCTACCTTTTATTGTCGAGATTTCTCTCCCCTACAAGCCCCCTGTATCGTATATATCATCAAATTACTGCTTTTCTAAAGGGGCCTATTTGAGTCTCTATAAACATATTGGA